TCGGGCAATACCGAGGCCACATGCATTTGGTCTGGCTCCGCCATGATGTGGAATAATGAGGCACCAACCTGCACCGCAATTCCGTGTGACCCTCTCGTGGCACCAGCAAATGGTGAATTGGACGTGTCAAACAACGGCAACTTTCCCGCCACTGCAACCTACAATTGCCAAGCTGGTTACACGCTGACAGCGGATGGCACCCGCACCTGCCAGACAGATGGCACATGGAGCGGGTCTGTGCCAGCCTGTACTGGTGTGCCATGTGAAACTCTCACAGCACCGCCGTATGGTGCCGTGAGCAGCACCCACAATTGGTTTCCTAGCACGGTCACCTTCACTTGCTTTGATGGCTATGAATTGGCTGGAGCAAGCTCTTTGGAGTGTCGGTCAGACGGGAGTTGGAGTGACAGCTCACCCACCTGCAAACCATGCGCCGTCAACATGTTCCGCAATACCTCCACCTCAGGCCCTCAGTGCGAGTCCTGCCCAGCGTTCAGCTCAACTGACGGCCTCACGGCACGTGCCACGTGCGCCTGTAATGCTGGCTTTGGTGGTGTGGCTGGCTCATGTCAAGCTTGTCCTGTAAACACCTCAAAGAGCACAGTTGACAATGCACCCTGCACTGCTTGTGCGCCAGGATACATGACCTCTGGCACCAACGCTGAGACATGTGATGGCGTACCTTGTGCCATGGTCCCCAGTATTGCCTACGGATCGTTCATTTCCACAAACAACAATCGCTATCCCTCGACTGGCACTTTCAGTTGCGAGACTGGGTTTGCGCTCGCCAACGATGACAATGGGGTGCGCACCTGTCAGATTGATGGATCGTGGTCCGCCGAAGCCGCCAGCTGCAGTCCCGTGTGTGGCGACGGTATTCGAGTGTTTGGGGAAGAGTGCGACGACGGCGCCAACAACGGGAACGACGGCTGTGCAGACAACTGCACAATCACGCCTGGCTATTACTGCCATACAGAGGGCGAGCCCTGCTCAGTGTGTTCCATCAACACACCACCTTCCGATCTCACGGTTGATTGTGCTGATTACACCGTCGATTTGGCGGTGTGGCGCGCGAACAACCTCGGTGCGGTGGCTGACACGCACACCAATTGTGGAGCTCCGACTTTCACCACGACGGCCCTCAATGTAACTGGCACTGACCCAGGGTGCAGCGCCCATCTCTTCCGGGTGGATGTTACCTTTGCCAAGGGAGGTTCTGACTTTTCGCTAGCCAACCTTCGAACGTCGGATACGGTGCCGCCAGTGTTCACGGCAGTACCCGATGGAGGCCTCACATATCAATGCCACGAATTGCCATCGGCCAGTAGCGGTATTTCCGCCACCGACACATGTGCAGCCTTTGTCAACATCACGAGCCGCGATGAAACTATCGCCGGGGCCTGCGCAAACAACTACACACTGCAGCGAACGTGGACGGCTGTGGATGGATGCCAAAATGCGGTGTCCGTCACCCGCAACTATACGGCCATTGATACGACAGCACCCACATTTGAGGTCCCGCCACAGAATCTGTATCTCGAATGTGACGGCACGCCGCAGGACGCGGCCATTCAGGCCTGGCTTGATAACAATGGTGGGGCCACCATCCGGGACGCGTGCACTGGGCCCGTAACCGTCACGCACAATATTGCCGAGGTTGCCCACGGTCTTGTGGCTGGCTGCGCGGGTGTTGTTGGGAACGCAACAGTCACATTTCAGGCGGTCGATGACTGCGGTAACATGGACCAGGCCAATGCCACAATTGTGCGCCGCGACACAACACCGCCCGTGTTTGTTGAATTCCCCGATAACGTTACCGTTTCGTGCAGCGCAGCCGAGCCCACCAATTTTACCGTCGCTGTCACCGACATTTGCACAGGGAATGCAACCGTGGTGCTTGCTCAGACTTGGACCGAGCCCAGCGCAACCTGTGCTCACGCATACACGGTGTTTCGCACCTGGACGGCCTCGGATGTCTGCGGCAACAAGCTAACCTCACACATACC